AACTTAATATAAGGTCCCTCCCCTGATGGCATTTAAATACTAATGGGAGAAGGCAGATGATACATTGACAGGTAAGAAAATGGTGTGTTATTTTAGAGCCTATGAATAGAAAGTGGAGTAATGAGGTAGTCACAATCAGAGAGAGTGGTAGGAGCTTCTGTTTTAGATGATACGGAAGAGGTAACGTGCGAGGTAGAATTGGAAGGGATGCAAAGATTTTTTGGAGAAGGGACTAGGTAAGGGACACAGCAAATGTGAAGGCTTTGAGGTAGAAACAAACTTGGCGTTTAAGGAGCAAGAAAGTCACTCCATAGTGACTGGACAGTAGTGCATGAAGGATAGAATACTGATAGAAGGTGAGTCCAGAGAAAATTATGTAGGACCTTTGGAGCCATCACAAGGAGTTTGTATTTTGTTCTGAATATTATGGAAAATATTTAGAGGATTTCGTACAAGGGAATGATGGGTTATTGTGGTAGCACTGTGCAGTTTGGATTCTAGGTGGTTAGGACCACAATTAGGAGTCTATAGCAGTATCCCAGGAAAGAAATGATGGTAGCTTGGAACAGAGGAACGGTAGAGGTAGTGAGAAGTGGTCAGATTCAGATACATTTAATAAGAGAGTTGACAGAATTTGCTGATTGATTAGATATAGGTAGGTGAAAGTAAAAGTCTTAGAGGATGATTGGATAAATGTTGGTGCCATTTACTGAGATGAGAAAGAGAAAAAATTGGGGGAAGAAGATTGAAAAATTATGTTTCAGCCGTTATCACTTTGAGATTCCTATTAGAAAATCCACGTGGAATTGTTGGAGTAAATCTTCGGCTGATGAGTCTGGAGCTTACAGAAGACTTCGGGGACCAGTATTTGAATTTGAGATTTATTAGTGCGTAGTTGTTAGTATAGGTTGACATCCCAAATCTGAAAATTCACAATCTGAAAGTTTTTAAGAATTGACATAATGCTCCAATGAACATTTCGGATTTCAGATTTTCAGATTTGGGATGCCCAACTGGTAAGTACAATGTAGATATTCCAAAATCAGAAAAAAACCCAAATTTGAAATACTCTGGTCCCAAGCTTTTCAGAAAAAGGATAATCAACCTATATTTAAAATTATGGACCTAGATGTAAACAGCTACAAAATTTGATAATGAAGAGATGGAAGCAGTGACCTTGGGGAGCACTGGCATTTAGAAATTGGGAAGAGAAGAGGATCAGTAAAGGAGACTAAGAGGTAGCCTATGAGGAAACAGGAGAACGAGGAACCATGGTGTCTGGAAGCCAGATGAAGTTTCAAGAAGAAAGGAATGATCAACTGTGTCAAATGTTGTCTGGACATCTATAATAATAAGATGAACATGGATTGTTAAATCTGTGACTTAGAAAAATGGAAATCATTGGTGACTTTGACTAGAATGATTTTGGTGGAGCAGTAGGGACAAAAGCCAATTGTAGTGGCTTATGGAAGAATGGAAAGGTGAGGAACTGGAGGTATTGATTATAGAAAACTTTTTCAAGGAGTTTTGCTCTTTAAAGGAACAGAAATGGTGGGGTCGCTAGAGGTAGAACATGGGGTCAAGGAATTTTTTTTTAAAGCAGATATTTTAGCATGTTTGTAAGACTAATGATGCAGTAGAGAGAGACACACACACAGAGAGAGAAAGAAATTAATGACATAGTAGAGAGAAGTGATAGTTGAGGTGTAAAATCCATGAAGAGAAAAGAGGGAATGGGATTCACTCCACATGGAGGCAGAGGTTTGTTATAGAAAGGAACAGTTATCCATTGTGGTAATAGGGAAGATTGTGCGTGATAAGAGGGAGAACTGATACAGGTAGGTTAGATTTGGTGGTGGGAACATGTAATAGCTGACATTTTTTTTTTTTGTTTTCTCAGTAAAATATGAAGTGAGCAAATCAAATGAGGTTGAAGTTGGGAAGGAGGTTTACTGGTTTGAGAAGAGAGGAGAAAAGTTATGAAACAGATGTCTTGAAAAGTAGGAGAACAAATTTATTGGAAAAAGTTAGTAGGATTAGGGCAGAAGGTTTAGTTACCTACTTGATATTTGTGTTTATAAATTTAAAATGGGATCTGTCTGTACCAATGCTTATTTTTCTCAAATTATCTTTAGCTGTTAGTAGCCTATTTGGGTTAAGGGTAAAAGGGTTTTCACCAGAGTTGTGGTTTTGCAACACGGATATTTAAAGGAGAGAGTATAAAGGTGTTAAGTATATAAGGGAGTGGTAATAGTGTTGGACTATCTCATGTAAGTTGATAATGTGGCAAAGTAAAGTCATGAATATGGTAAAAATTATAGATTTAATTGTTGGAATGAGATTCTAGAATAAATGAGCTGATCTGTTAGGTTAGAGTAGTATAATGTTTAACATTGAGATTTTAGAGATACATGGGAGCTAATAATAATAGAATGAAAAATCATTTGAAAAGCTTAACATTCATATTAGTAATATTAAGCACTATTACAAACAAGAAATTCATCAATTTTATGGTATTAGTAAGGTCATTAAATTATCTTCTCATCTAATACATTGAGATCAAATTTTCTAAATAGGTTTTTAAAAGTTAATGAATATATATATGTGAAAAATAACTAGCTTTAAAAACCATTATCTAAATTGGAAAAGGGCATATACATTTTATAGCTTTAGGGCCACTTTTTAGTCACTATTCATTTTAATTAGAATTTTAGTGTCAGGAATATTTCAATATGGACTATGGGTTCTGATCTTTTATCTGATAGTGACTTTTAATCAGTCAGTTTTGTTTATAAACTTATATTGTGCATTAGAAAGGAAAATATTTTTAAAAACAGTTTATGAGTATTGATATTTGTTTAAATTAGGTACTCATGAGAAGCAAGAAGTAAAGAAGAAAAAAGTTGAAAAAGGAGTGCCTAATGTGTATCCTCCTGCTGCTGCTACTTCCAAGCCTTCTGCAGATCAGATCAGACAAAGTGTCAGACATTCTCTCAAAGACATTCTTATGAAAAGGTAACACATATTATTAATGTAGAAGATTGAGTAATATAGGCTTCATGGGTTTGAAAAATAATTGAATTGTTCTAATTTTAAGACTTACAGATTCAAATTTGAAGGTACCAGAAGAAAAGGCAGCAAAAGTTGCTACAAAAATTGAAAAAGAGCTTTTCTCTTTTTTTCGGGACACAGATGCTAAATATAAGAACAAATATAGAAGTTTGATGTTCAATCTGAAAGATCCTAAAAACAACGTAAGTATGTTTTGTGCATGTGTATGGATACTCTTCCAACTTTCCTGAATACATAGGTATCTAATGTTGTAATATAATAGATCTATAATTTATTATTAATTGGAGTGAGACTGTAGAATTTCTTCTAGGTTTAGAATGTGTAATTACAATAAAATCTTTTTGCTACTGAACTGAGTCATGAATTATGTATAGTAATGGGTAGTGTTATCCAATTAGTCTGTTGAAATGCTACGTGTCCACTTGATTTATGTGAATTTTTTCCTTTACCGTTTTTTGAATAATTCAGTTTATTTAAAAATCCATTTATGTTTATTCTTTAAAAACTCTGTTAAGCTAAAATTCATAATACTATATTATTTATTTATTTATTTTTTTTTGAGACAGAGTCTCACTGTGTTGCCCAGACTAGAGTGCCGTGGCTTCAGCCTAGCTCACAGCAACCTCAAACTCCTGGGCTCAAGCCATCCTCCTGCCTCAGCCTCCCGAGTAGCTGGGATTACAGGCATGTGCTACCATGCCCGGCTAATTTTTTCTATATATTTTTAGTTGTCTGATTAATTTCTTTCTATTTTTAGTAGAGACGGGGTCTCACTCTTGCTCAGGCTGGTTTCGAACTCCTGAGCTCAAACAATCCGCCCGCCTCGGCCTCCCAGAGAGCTAGGATTACAGGCGTGAGCCACCGCGCCCGGCCCATAACACTATATTATTACTTTTGATTTAAATCTGAAAATAGAGCTGCATTCCTTAAGAAAATAAATTACATTTAGGTAAAAACTATTTAAAACATTTTTACTGAACTAAGTATAACTTTGGTTCCAAGTATCTTTTAGCAGTGGGGTAAGTATTAATTGAACCCCTAATCTTTTCTCGGGATTTCTTCTTTGGGACTTAGAAGAAATCTAAAAGCTGTGAGTGAGAGGGAAAGAGATAGAGGGAGGGAAGGAGGGATGGGGAGAGAGAGAGAAGGAGGGGGAGAGAGAGAGAAAGAGAGAGAGAGAGAGAGAATGAGAGTGTGTGTGTGTGTGTGTGTGTGTGTGTGTGTGTGTGTGTGTCAGTGTGTGTGTGTGTGTGTCAGTGTCAGCACCAAAATTAGGCCTTTAATTAGTACAGTAAGCAAAAGTCATGCCAGTGAGCATTTTAAAAGTTCAGAACATGATTGGTCTCTTTCATGTGGCATTTACCTAGGTTTACCAGGAGGTTTTGCTACAGGTGATTCTAGGTAACAAAATGTAATTAGATGCAACTTCTTTGCATACAAGGTTTTCATATAAGTGATATAAATTTGTGTAAGGATATTTGCTACAGTATGTGATTTGAGGTATTTTTTTGAAGTATACTAACAGCTACTTAAGAAAAATGTACATTGTACAATCTGCCATCATGGTCCAGGGGGATCAAATACTTCTTGATTTATATAATCTGGAAGCATTACTTCAGTAATTAATTAAAGACTTATATCCTTTAGGTTTCTTTCTTGCAATTGGTTCTTTGCTCTGAAGTCCAGCCTGTCAGGATTTAAATACGTAAAATCTTAAAAATATGGAAGACGTTACATTGAGTAAAGCTCTTTTATGCAATACTTTGCTATACTGTAGATTGGTTATTATGACGGTTAGATTACATTCCTGTGTAGACTTAATACAAGTTTTGGATAGGTATTGAATTGGTTCCACTGTGTATGCTTCTCCATAATGTGTTGATTTTTATATGAAATGTGTATTTTACTGTCTTAGATAAATTCCTAGAATACAAAGCAGTCATTTATTCTCTGTGTAGGAGGTAATATATAAATCATTAAATATTTATAAATCAGGCTTCAAAAATTATATCTTTATTGCAGGTTTCTGTGCGGTAGCTTCTGGTTTTTAAATATGTGTCTGTCCTTTACTTCCTATTTTTACGTCCTTCCAGATATTATTTAAAAAAGTACTGAAAGGAGAAGTAACCCCTGATCATCTTATAAAAATGAGTCCAGAAGAACTAGCTTCTAAAGAGTTAGCTGCTTGGAGACGAAGAGAAAACAGACATGTAAGATTATCTGAAAATATACATTTGACTGTCAAAACCTGTATTTTTCAGCCATGGGAAAAATTATACAGAGCTAATTCAACACAGATTGCAGAGTAACACAGACTTTCTGTTATGTACTGCTTCTAGTTACTTGTTATCCATTCCTCTAGTTCTTAAATTCTGTTGTTTTTCCTGATCTCTCCAGTTTTTTTTCCTCATTTCCTCCAGTTATCAGGTTACAGAATTACCTTGTATTTTGTTATTATATTTTGTAAGTGAGAAGGATGGGAAAATAGGTACATCTTTTCTTAATCACATCTGTACTTTTTCAAAAGTACAGTTTGAAGGTATTATGAATATAGGTAATTTTTAGAGCCAGATGAATTTAACTAAGAAAATAAAATTTGTATGGGTTTATAATCCCTTATTATTCAAAGTGCCAAAAGCTCTGAAAAATGAAAATTTTTCCCATATTTACTTTATTGATAAAACATGACCTGAATTGCCATGTATGAATGTTCATATTCACTGAAATATTGTATGTTTAATTATGTGGTACTGTCTCACATCTAACTGGAATATTACTGTAATATATAGTGTGTGCACCATTATTGCATTTTTAAACTGAAAAATTCTGTTCAGTCACAGGTGCTGAGTTTTCAGTTGGAGATGGGTGAACTTGAAATACCTTTAAAGATTAAGTGACTAAGTGACTTAGAACTATTGTGACAGTAAGATAGCCATGTTGTCCAATATTTTTATTACAGTGGCCTCAGAATATTAGCCCCTATTCTAGAAAATATTGGTTTCTTATAGTTCATGTTAACTCTGCACGATTTACATGATTCTTCTGTCCATAATACTTACTTGCATCTTAGGCGCTAAACCTTCATGTAGATCTGTGCCAGATGTAGTGTGAAGCTCAAGAGGCCTTGATTTGATATGTCATACTTAACCTCACACATTTTTTCACCTTCACCCTGTGTAATTTCTCCTCCTCTTTTATTTTGTGAAAATAATATCACTTCCTCTTCTTTCCCTCTTATTATCACAAATATACACATGCCTCTTCTGCTTTGAAACTGTGGCTTCAAGTATCGTCTGCATCAGAGACCAGCTTGTTCTTTCTTTAGGCCACATACCTGATTTCTTTCTTTAACGGATGATTTGCACTTAACAAAGGCAAAATAAGTGAGCAGACCCATCTTACCCTCCTTATCCCATTCCACTCCCAGCTAACTTTATACTACTTCTTGCTATACTTGCTTAATTAAGTTTTTTGTTTTGTTATTGAGCTTTTTCAACTGTGAATTATCAGTGTCACTAAGCAGGCTCAAGTTAGGAGATAACTAATGGAGGACTGCCAGATTATTTTTGCTGTGAATAAACTGCTGTTGTAGGGGGTGGTAGAACATCAAATTAGGAATTTAAAAGCAAGATAGTTCTTACTTCCCTGTGGCAGCTGCTAAAAAGTACAGACAGATTTCAATTGTAGATACCATGTTTCACCACTTTGCAAATTACATTGCACTTAAATTGCCTTCTGTTATAATGTATATGTGAACTCTTCATGGCTGACTTATGGGGTCTAACCCTATTCTTATAATCCCAGCATTTTAAAATAGTCTCTGGCATATATAAGCACTCAGTGCAAGTTTGTTGTATGAGAGACTACCTAAAGATTAAAAGTCATCTGTGATGATTAATTTATTTTTAGGTAAGCTCTTATTATTTAAAGTGTACATTTGGAAATGCGTATTTTACATTTAATATTTATTTTAATATATTTTGTGTTAGACCATAGAGATGATTGAGAAAGAGCAGAGAGAAGTGGAAAGAAGACCAATCACAAAAATAACTCATAAAGGTGAAATAGAAATTGAGAGTGATGCCCCAATGAAAGAACAAGAAGCAGCCATGGAGATTCAGGTAAAGATAGATATGTCATGTTTTATAGCTCAAAACATAGACTCAGAAAAAGTTTATTTGCCTACTGTTTTTAAAGTAGAAAGAATTTTTAAACATGTATCTGTTTTAAAGTTGCCTATCGTATTGGTTTAATGGTTTTTTGAGAGTACTTAGAGTATTGATTCTCTTAGTGTGCAGACTGCATGATATTGTAGGTGCCTGTTCAACACTTGTTACAGTGTACATTCCTGGGGTGCTTTGACTTGGTGAATTTCTTAGTAGGCTTAGAAATCTATAGATGCTTCTTAGGCAGACTTTTATTTGATGCTGGTGTTTCTTTTTCTCAAATATCAGTGAGGAAATAATTTGAAGTTTTGTTAGAAGCCTTGAAGAATGAGGAACGTCTGAGTTTTTGCTCTAAATCATAATTAATAGGTACCAT